CGCTCTGGACTATGCTACGACTTTCCCTTAAAAATTCAATGTCTTCACTGGCCTATATGTACATGTATAACGTCTATTTATGTTGGTTTGCTGTGGTAGGTTTATTTGATGCCTCAAATAGTGCCCTGTCTAGGACACGGCGTGAGAGATCTTTTTTTTTATATCATCTCTCCTCATGTTTTCTTCCCTTTTCTCATCTAAGCAAAAATATTATTCTGAATAAGAATAAGAGGGCCGCGCTATGTATAGCCGCAGCTTCTTGCATTCCGCCCATCTTTCAGACGACTGTACGTACATGTTCTTGTTGTATCTTGGTGCAATGCCAATAAAGTTTTTTCTGATTCTCTGATTCTGATTCTTAAATAAATAAACTGAATTGAAGTGAATTGGGGCAATGCGGTGACGCAACTTGAAGAGCTGCTGCCTCTCAGCAAGAAGGTTGTTTGTTCAAATCCTGGTCCGGGGGCCTTTCTGGGTGGAGTTTATGAGCTCTCCGTTCTGCGTGGGTTTTCTCCGGGTGCTCCGGTTTCCTCCCACAGACCAAAAATATGCATGTTAGACTGATTGTTAACTCTAAATTGTCCCTAGTGGTGAGTGAGAGAGTGAATGGTTGTTTGTCTTGTTTGTCTCTATGTGTCCCTGTGATGGACTGGAGACATGTCCAGGGTGTACTCCGCCCCTCGCACAGTGATTGCTGGACATGGGCACCAGCAACTCCCGTGACCCAAAATGGAATAAGCGGGTAAAGATAATGGATGGATGGATGGATGGATGGATGGATGGATGGATGGATGGATGGATGGATGGATGGATGGATGGATGGATGGATGGATAGTTCTGGAGGAAACATTAAAGCTATAAAGCCAAAGCTGAGATGCGCTCCTCATAAACCTGTCCTGTGTGTTTTCCATCCTCAGGGCAGCACTAGACTGCAGTCACACGTGCACTCTTGTGACTTTATGTGTAGTTGTGTGATAAGTGTTGTTGTGCATTCCTCTGTGTATTGCTCTGTGACAGAAAGAAGTTTCAGCATCCTCTCAACAATTACAAGTAGTAAATGATAGATGGATGGATAGAGAAATAATACACCACCTTTCATCAAATTTAGGGGTGGGGGTGGGGAAGTAGGAGATAACTATTTCCCATATACCTGTTGACTCAGACACTTGACCAGGCCAGTATATGATGGTTATTGTTCGTACATCCAGAAACACCAAGTAGGATAACCTTTAAGGTCATTCTTAATGGACACCTGTCAAATCTGAGTTTGACGAAAGAAGGTGTATTATTTCTTTCTCCTTGTTATTTAATTTGCATTGCTATTAGTAGTATCATATATGTTTTTAGCATGAAGATAAACCTCTTTTAACCCTTTTTTCCTGTGTTTGTTCAGACATTTTTAGTGCGTAAATGCAATTCCAGCCAGAGGAAGGTGCTGTGTTTTAGGGTGGCAGCTGACAGAAGTGCCTCCTCTGTGAAGGAGTGCTTCATCAGTGAGGAGGACTCCAGTAAGTTAAAAAAAGGCTTGTACATTAACACGTGTTGTCCATGTGCCATTACACCAGAACACAAAATGGTCAGCATGTCAGTGGTTTGAGAGTTTGAAAGAATTATCCTTGTTAAAGTTTGTTGAAGTGTTTCTATAAAAGTACCACTGGAGTTCATAATGAGTTGTTTATTTGGGGGGAAATATGCCAGTTATCATGAGTATGCAACACTATACTACCCAAAACAATTCAGTAATAATTATCAATCTGAATATCCCATTAGGATTAGAAAAAAAATCATTAATCATTTGCTGCCATGAAAGGTAGGCAGTCATTTAATTGCCTGTATATATGTGTTTTTGTGGAAAAAAAATCCCACTCTGTTAGTGCAGGATGGATCCTCTATATAATGTTTGACAGTTAACGAGTCTCACACAGCCCCCATTCCTGCCACTCAGTCTCTGTTTTATCACTAGCATTCGCCCTGGAGAGCTCAGCACTCAGCTTCCCTGACTTGTGTCGTTTGGTGGCTTTCTACTGCATCAGCAGGTAATGTGCTATATATAATAAAACACAGTTTCTATGTAGACCACCCCGTTTTGGTTCAATACTTTGACGCAAAGCGATCCAGAATTAGACATTAAAGTACATCAGAATGCTGTCTTTAAGGAAAAGTACTTTCTGTTTAGACATTAATTCACTGGACTACACAGAGTTTTCAGTCTTATCTCTGGGATAAGCGAAAACTCAGTGGAAACCAGGCTTTGTTTAGTTTGGAGATTTTGCTGTGGTGTTCTGCATTTTTTTTTTTTATCAGTAATCAATATATTACCTGTGATATATGTCACTCAAATCACTTCAGAATATCAGTCTTAATTTCAGTTTCACTCACTGACTGTCCAACGTTTCCATCTCCTACCGCTTATCTGTAGTTGAGTAGTAGAGGCAACAGGTCCAGGAGAAAAACCCAGACACCCCCTCTCCCAGTGGCACTTTCCAGCTCATCTTGGGGGACACTGAGGCGTTCCTAGGCTAAAGATACACAATCCTTCCAGCGAGTTCTGGGCCTTCCCTGTCTCTTACCAGTGGGATGTTCCTGGAAAACCTCTAAAAGGAGACATCCAGGAGGCATCAGATACACAAACCACCTCAACTGACTCCTTTTGTTGAGAAGGAGCAGTAGCTCTACTCCAAGCTCCCCACAGTTGATGGGGATCCTCACCCCATTTCTAAGGCTGGACCTGACTACCCTTTGAAGAAAACTTACTTTGGCTGCTTGTTTCTGGGATCTTGTTATTTCAGTTGTGATTCATAACTCCTGACCACATGTGAGGGTTGAAGGTAAACAGACCAGTAAATTGAGAGATTTGCCTTTTGGACTTGTCTCTTTCTTCACCATGATCGACTGAAGAAACACTCTCATTACTGAGGTCGAGGTCCCAACACATCGATCCATCTCCCGCTCTATCCTACCATACGTTATGAAGATGTCCAGATACATAAACTTCTCCACCTGAGACAAAGCCAACCTTCACCAGTACAACTTAATAATCAAAAGAAGCTTTTTTTTTATTTCTTTTTGATACTCACCTGTATTTGATTAATGCAAAACGTTTGCAACAAAAGAAGTGTTAGAAAGTGCAGAGGTTTTATTGATACTTGGATATAAAAAAAGGATAAAACAAAACATGTTGATTCTTGGCGCAACTGGTAGAGCTGCTGCCTCTCAGCGAACAGGTCCCTGGTTCAAACCCCAGTCCAGGGGCCTTTCTGGGTGGAGTTTGCATGTTCTCTCCGTGCATGCGTGGGTTTTCTCCGGGTACTCCGGTTTCCTCCCACAGACCAAAAACATGCATGTTAGGCTGATTGGTAACTCTAAATTGTCCCTAGGTGTGAGTGAGAGAGTGAATGGTTGTTTGTCT